CTTACCGTCAAAAACTCTGAAGGCTTTCTTGCAGCCTGGTAGAGGCCATTTTGCAGCATTTGATTTTTGAAAATTTTCTTTTAACTTCACATATTCCATGGGGAAAAAAGATTTGGTAGAGTTGTTCAGTTCTACAATAATTAATAGGAAAGAATGTATACATAAATGCTGTAAATATATCATACACTTATACCACAATATCAAAATGCCTTATCTACTGTGTAATTCTTTTTCTCTGGTAGAGGCCATTTTGCAGCATTTGATTTTTGAAAATTTTCTTTTAACTTCACATATTCCATGGGGAAAAAAGATTTGGTAGAGTTGTTCAGTTCTACAATAATTAATAGGAAAGAATGTATACATAAATGCTGTAAATATATCATACACTTATACCACAATATCAAAATGCCTTATCTACTGTGTAATTCTTTTTCTGATTATGAAATCTCTTAAATTGCTTTATAATCACATAACCCAAAGCAATTTCAGATACAGGAAGAAAAAGTCTTAAACATGGTGTTTTGATTCTATTTCTCTGAAAAAAAAGCATTTCAGAAAGATGATGTGAAATTCTAGCAAAATTAAGTACATAATAAATCAGGCTGTTTAGCTTTCAGAACTATGATGACCTCTATGACAGAAAATGACATCTATCAAACTGACTGTGGTATTAATTCTCAGTTCATAGTGTTTTTCGTTTAACATCATCACTCAGTAACAGTCAGAAATGCAAGGAGAGGGGAAAAGTCTGAAAATACTTTTGAGATTTATTAAAAGTTATGGGTTACAAGGAATTAAGAATGCATTTGTTGAATGATTAATGATACATTAGAAAAGAAATCATCAGCTTCTCGGGATATAATTTGAGGAAATGTCTACATGGGCTACAACTCAAAACTGTCAAAATAAACATATCCATAGCAATCCAACAATGGAAAACAATTTAAAAATAGCTCTATTTTTCTGCCACAGAAAATAAGTGATCTGCTGATAACAGACAGAGTTGTCACGCCAGTAGTTAACAGGGGAAACTTCAAAACCCCTCATTTTGGCCCCTCAAACTATCATGGCTCCAGATAAATATTACCAGCTGCTAGCACAGTACCTTCTCTACCTTAAAGAAAGAAAAGGCCCTTCATAGATCTTTGAAAAGGCTTATGTATTATTACTTTACCTGGTTAATTGCAATTGTACATACTTTTTCAGTAATCAATATTTTACGAAAGGATCAAATCTATTTTCTCTGGCAGATTTGAGAAAGCTAAGCTTTTTGTGAGCAGGCTTCAGAAAGAAGAAAAAGTCCAAATGCCTTTTGGTTGCAGTAGTTTTTCTAGGTAAGAGGAAGGCATTAACAGATTTGAAGAAAAAAAGTATGCTGGTCTTATTCTAAAAATTATCCTGTATTTCACTGTGTCAGAACGCAGGTCGAATGAGGCTACACAACACAGAGTACAGAAATCTCCAAATCCTTCTATGTCATTATGTAAGAACAGCGCCACCGTAGCCATAAATCTCTCTCAGTGAAAGGAAAGAGGCCATTTTCTCTCCCAAATGTAAAAGGAACAAGCTGTGTATTTTTCACTAGCGGTTTTTAATTTTTATATAAGAGCTTTATATGCTACTGAACACATTTGGATTAAGTATTATTCAGATTCAGAGAGATAGCCTCCGATAAGATTCTGCCTTTTGCAGCATCATCAAAAAATATTTTAGTTTCCTTCTACAGGCGACAAAAATTGACTCAGTTCTTTCAACTTTATTGTTCAAATTTAAGCCCTGAAATCTCTGGTGAGACATCTGTTTTTCCCATAAGGCAGTGGTGACAACTCTCTCTGGCCTTTAGAAGGTTGCTTTGTTAGGCTTTCAATGAAAGATCCTCTCAGGCTGGCCAGGCCACCTGTCTTCCCGTGTGTATGCAACCTTTTCCCTGCCACATGTCTGGACATCTTGTGCACAACCAGTACACGGTGTCTGCATTTCTCCAAAGTGGTGGATTTTTTGTACTTAAGTGTCAGATCTGGCCCTTCTTGGAAATGCTTAAAATAAATGAAACTATATCAATAGAAGTGTAGAAGCCAACCCCTGGCTCACTCCTTCGACTGATAGGAGAGGCATTTAAAAGACAGAATTACTTGAAGTGGGTTGCTGCAATCTGATCAAAAGCTGTGTCTTAGGTGAATTCTGGGCACCCTATCATGTGTGGAGAAAGGGCTTTTAAGTGGGAGAAGGGCTTTTAAGAAAAGCCTTTAGGAATGACAGGAATGCATCGTGGACACCATCAGAGCAACCTATCTGGACTGGAACTCAGTCTCAAGGGAAGAGGTGGAAAAGGCTCACCTGACCAGGGCAACAAGCCAGAGGAAGTATCCTCATGGGTCACTTTGTACCTCTGGGTTAAGCACTCTTTTACTTCATAACTGATAGATAATTGACCTGTTAGTCTTCATGTATTTTTGTCATTTTACATGCAACCTTCTGTTGCAGTTAAGTTTCCAAATGCATAGAAGCTAAAAAGTAAACCTATATTTATATATCTTACATGTTTTCTATTTGCTATACCCTTGTATATTAAAATGCAGTTATACAAAAGCAAAGCTGCAGAAAGTATTCAGAATAAATTAGTGAGGGAAATAAGACATCCCAGTTGTAGCATTAGAGAAATATCTAAAGAATGCTAACAACTTTGCTTTTCTGGCTGCACAAACCTATAGCAGCAGTGACTTCAGCATAACTTTTAATAGGCTTGTATATTTTCCTGATTAAAAAAAAATTTACTACCCTTTATATTAGTCTGGCACTATCCATCTTCCCTAATGTGCTGATTTTACTAATTTCTCTACGAATATGACATCATCATCAATATTTCTTGCTTGATTTAAAAGCTGCTTAACATATTATGCACCGGAAAATTACAAGACATTTTTCTTAAAATATATATAATAAAAAAGCAAATTTAGCACATCTATTTTCAAATATATTGGTAAGTCAAGCATACATTGCTATATATTGAATAGCAATATACAAAAGTTGCTCTAAGACCATATGGATTTCTCCCGTCTGATGTTTTCAATGCTGAACACAACTCCTTTACGGTTATGGCTCACTATTTACAGTAGACTATTTACATATTTATGACACTGTATTTACACTTTAGTCACACAAATATTTTTCATAAAAAAGCCTACATACCTTTTTAACATTTTCATGGAATGGATTAAGTTGGAAGGGATGTCTTGAGATCAACTAGTCCAACCCACTCTGCTCAAGCAGAGTTAGCCACAGCAGGTTGCCCAAAAGCGTGTTTGATTGGGTTTTGAGTGTCTCCATGGATGGAGACTCCACAGCCTCTCTGGGTAACCTGTTTGACCACTCTCACAGGAAAAAAAGTGTCCTCTTGTGTTCAGATGGAGTTTCGTGTGTTTCAATTTGTGCCCGCTGCCTCTTGTCCCATCAGTGGGCAACACGAAGATGAGTCCAGCTCCCTCTTATTCATTACGTCCCATCAAGTATTTTTACACATTGTATATTAAGTACTCAATGGCTACAAATAGTCATGGTAATATTTCCCTTAAATGTCAGTCCTTTAAATGTGTTGAAAAGTTCTGCAAATACATTTTAGCAAGCATCTATATACTCTCTTTGTACTCCCCCAGCAGTATTTTACTGCAGCAAATCTGTTAAATAGCTCTTTTTAAACTTAAATAGCCCCAAAACAACTAAAAGCTATTCTCTGTTGGTGAAACACACTTCATTTGTACATCACACACAAAGGAGCATTGAACATTTAGCAAATGAAATGAGAACATCTTGAAGCCTCCATATACCAGCCATGCAGGGTGCTGAGATTGCTCAGGCTGCAGCTTTCCAACCATTTTCTCTGCTCCAGTGCTGGCCACCAGCAGCTCCCCAGTGAACCATCCTGGGGCAGTTAGTTGTCTGAAAAATGCCTCCTTCCCATACAAATGAGTACTTATTTAGCCCAGTCAGTTCCTCAGACTGGTCTGTCATCAAATTCTATAAAGTTGTGCCTGTGCAGAGGAAGAGTCTGTGCACAACCAGAAATAGAAGTTGGGCAGCTTTGCTAAACAATGTGAAATCATTCTTTAATCTGCACCCCCAACCTGTCATCATCACTGCACCCTCCCAGTTTAAAGAGGATTGCTGCAAGATCTCTGCAACATGCAAAAATAAACAAACACTCTCGCATGGCTGAGTCATTTCCATTGCTCTGTGACCTGTCTATGCACAGTTTTAAGTGCATCAAAGGGCCTACCTTCAGGTATCATAGTGCAACTTTATCCATGGTGCTTGAATTTACCTTTTAAAGTTCCAGGCATAAGAGACGGGCTCATGCTGTTCCAGGTATTCCATCTCTAGCACTAACAACCCTCTTCTATCCCTGTATCCAGTCTAACATCAAATATGACTTACCTACCATATTTTCCTACTGCTAGAAGTCAAGAACACTAGAGATGCAAGGGTGCAAGAGACCAGGAAGGGAGAATACAAAAATAAGATTAGTTAGATGGAATTCTATAGTTCTGCCAGCCTTCATTTTCACTTGTAGCTAAATTAAAGCCATAAAACCAAGAGATGAGCTTTTTCTTTGGTGTCATTAAGTTAGTAATTTTAAGAATGCTTTTCTGGTAGAGTATTTTGAGAAAAATATTTATTGCTTGGAGTCTGTGATTATTTAGCAACGGGAAATGAAAGAAATGCAAAATATCAGATACTAACTTCAAAAATCAGTTAATTTTAAAATATGCATCCAGAACAGTCTCTTCCCACTAAAGAAAGCCTGAGTGGAATAGTCCTAGGGAGAGTTAAATGCAAAGAAAACCTCATAGTGGATTAACCACCAAATTTTGCTCTGCATGCATTTTGGATGTGGCCCATTGCATTCTTCTTTCTTTCTTTTTTATTTTCGTACTTTTTCTCTTTTCTTTCTCTTTTCTCTCTTTCTCTCTCTCTTTTCTTTCTCTCTCTCTTTTCTTTCTTCTTTTCTTTTCTTTTCTTTTCTTTTCTTTTCTTTTCTTTTCTTTTCTTTTCTTTTCTTTAGTTTGCAGATTTTTAATATACTTTTAACTGCATATTTAATCAGGCCAGAAATACAAGAAGGAAAGCTACAAATATTTTTCTGTATTATAAAAATTTTCATTTTTATACCTGTTTGGAAAAAGACTCTGGCAATTGTAGTGCGACACAGTGGACATGGAGTGCTGGCTGGATTGTCTTTGGCAAGCATCCTTAAGCAAGGTTCACAAAAGATGTGGTGGCACGGATAGCACATGTAAGGATTGAAATAAACATCCAGGCACACTGCACAGAGATAGCTTGCTTTATCTCCTCTGAGTTCATGCTTATCGTCTGTATGCAAGTTATCATTTGCAGTCTGCAAAAAGAAAAAGAATACACCTCTTCACAGATCAGCTCATAACTATTTTGGATAAACCAATCAACAGGAAGGTGACTTTAAATAACGCTTAAGAAGTTGGTACAGACTGGTGATATTCTTAATTTTTAATATAGGTTACTTTTAACAAGATGATGAAACATACTGATAAGACAGGAATGTCACAACAAGCATCCTGTGGAAAAGGAGAACAAAAATAGTATGAGACAGTAGAAGAAGGAAATAACAAAACCAAAAAGGCTGAGTAAAACTATACTATGATCAGATTTCTTTTAAAATGAATTTTAACAATTTATTTGTGACTTTATTACCAAAATACATTGCTACTTTGCAAAGAAAGGAAAAATAACCCAAAATATCTAAAAATAAGCTGTGGATTGTTCTGTCGTTGAAAGGTAACTTGTGAAGGGCATGTTTCAGCAAGAATAATGACTCACAGTTTGAAGCAAGCCACAGCTTTATTACTACAATGCAGAATCTAAACCTTAGAATAGAAAGTCTAGGAACCCCTAAGATATTTGATAACTGCTGGTTTTTGTCAGTACCTATGCTCTGAATTTCCTTGCAATAATATATTTGTAGAAGGACAGAGCTGGACTTCCCAAATGGTGTACATGCTGTATGAGTGTAACAACTTCTGTATAATGCCAGGTTCCTGCTTTGCTCTTGTAAGATGACTAAACCTGTTAATGTAATCTGAACATCTTACACCAATTGCATCCAGGGTTATGGGCTTAAAGAAAAAAATCTTTTTGTTTTCCTCTCTACGACAGCTACACAAAAGACATTGGCTTTGCTCTAGCTCTTTTATCCATCCCCTCTGTTTCACTGCTAATAGAACCGAACATAGCCCAATATCCAAGAGACACACCAGGAAAGAACCAAGACAGGGGAGGGTGTCAGACACTGCTGAGTGTCAAAACTCTTCTCTCATGCCTTTTGTTCTAAACTTCCAGTCCTTACCTAGTAATCTCAGTTCACGTATCTTAATTCTAAGCTGCCTTGTTGTATCAGTGACTTCTTGTAAGCTCCAGTATCCATAATTAATACCCTAATGCCTCTTGCTCAACTACTGCTTTGTACCTATCTCTTTGCTATTTCTGCAACACTAGTCCTGCAAGTCCTTCCAGAAACCTATTACTGACATTACACACAAATGTTGATGATTCTACCCAATAAATACTGCTCTGTGCTAGAGTAGCTGTTTTGTTTGCATCTAATTTGCATACCAACTATCTGTATATTACACAGGCCACTTCTGACACTCATAGGCCATGGCAGACAGCTACTGCCTGATACTGGTATACCAAATATTAATGACAATTGATATTTTGTGCCTCCTGTACAGATGGGAGTCCCTAGATCTGTTAAAGAGATGATTATATGTATGGCTTACTGGTTTGGATTTGTGTTGTCTCTCATTATAGTCAGTCCTCTTCTACCTGGGATACTGAATACTGCAAATAATGAATAAGCCCTAACAGTATGAGTACCGCAGAATGCATTTAAAAATACAGAGCAGAAATATTTACACAGAATTTATCAGTTCTGGATAAGTGTCTCCGTTTAAGACTCAGGGCAAGCCCAGGGAGCAGGATTTTCTCTCTATTGTCCCCTACCCTCCCAGAGAAGGATTCTAAAAAAGGAAATAGAGAAAAAAAAAGATGCTTCACACAAGGTTGGAAGTTAAGACTGTAACAAGTTTAATGAAAAACAACAGGGGAAAGGAAAAAGGAATTAATAAGGGATAAAGGATATTTAACAATATACAAAACCCAATCCCAGTAGCCCTGAGTGGAAGTATCTGAGCAGTGGCTCGTGGCCGCTGTGACCACTGTGACTCATCACCAGGGACCGCAGTGGTGCTGGGAAGCGGATGGTGGTGGATGCTGCAGGAAGCAGATGGTGGTGGATGCCGCCGAGCATGTGGAGGTAGCCCCAGCTGTCCAAAGATGCGTCAGGAAGTAGCCCAGGAAACCAGGACTCCAAAATCCTAAGGGGCAGCCTCGAGTTTCTCCTGGTGCTTTTTGCCAGAAGTTCCAAGTAGGACCACAATCCCCCGCTGCAGT